AGCTTTTGCATCTGACGGAACAAGGTGTTACATTATTTTAAATTATAGAGGATCCTCGCACAAAGTTTTGGATTTTTACTACTTTATGCTGAAAATTCTTGCACCATGTCATCTCATTTACGATTGATTTTGAAGTAAATTAAGGGAAAATATTGAGATGAAATAAAATTATTGATAGCAATTTATAAGTTTTAAATTAAAATTTTGCTTTACTAAGACACGGTGAAGAGAAAAGGTTGAAATAATTATTATAAAACTTTAAAAAAAAAATTGAGTAAAAAGAAAAATTGTTAGTATTAAATAGGGTATGTTGAAATATAATCGGAGAGTCGTATTATTAGAGCAGAATATAAATTTCAAAGATTTAAGTATAGAAAACATTATCATTTTAGTCGAATAGCGTACATGCCCAGATATTATCGGAAAACTATAATCAAAATTAATTAGTAACAGCAAGGGACATACAGCAAACGAAAGCTGATATATCATAGTTTTATTTAATAGTAGTATTATGAGTAAGTAAGATAGGTACAAAGAAATATTAAAGTCCAAAGTAAAATTTTATATATCAATAGGATTATGTCAGTGAAATGTCAAAAATAAAGTTGAGTTCACAAGTCAGAAAATATTACATATGAAATTCAAATAAAAATATAGAATTAAGGAATATTTTGAAATATAAGTTAAAATAAACTGGAATGGGATTGTAAAATTGTAAATTATAAAAGTGAAGTGAAGTGCAGTGGAAAAAGAAAACGGAATTTAAAAGAACAGGCATATATGTGAATAGACCTTAACAAGGGATAAAAAATCAAGAGTAGGTTAAATAAAAAAGAAGATTATTGACTAGTTACGAAAAATTTGTCAGAGAGAAGTAGTTGAAAAGAATAAAGTGGGAAAAACCCATATAAATAGTAATAATCACAGTGAAATATAGTTAAGACAATCAAAGTTAGTATTCCAGTACAAAGAAAAATTAATGTTGAGCCAAAAGGATTCAAAAGTCCAGTCTCTTCAAAGGACTCCAATACGATATCCATGACAGACCAGGACGATATTCCGGATATTCACCAAAGTAAGCAGCAGATTGCAGCTATCCAGTAAATTCAGGAAAAACGAGTATTCCAGGACGACATTCCAGACACACCAAAGACGATATTCCAGACGCATCAAAGTGAGCAGCAGGTTCCAGCTATCTAGTAAATTCATGAAAACGAGGGTTCCAGGACGATATCCAGACCGAGTATGAGAGGGCAAGCAGTTCAAAAATAAAAATCGACGAGATATACGTAGAGGTAACTTTGTGCACATAGAAATACGAAAGCAAAAGAGATTAATAAATACAATCTCAAAAGTCATAAAAAACCTATAGGTATAATAATAAAATTCCTGAAAATAAATTTGAATTAATACAAATAGTAGATAACTTTAACTGCACTATGCCAATAATAAGAAAAAGTGGCCATAATAAAATTTATATAGATATTTAAGTATAAAAGTAGGCAAAGTAACACATTGGGAAAGAAATTTCAAGATCAGTTTTATCGCCTTACGTATAGGCAACCAACAGTACACAATAACGAGTCAATTTGAATATCACTTTATGAAAAGTTCACAAGGTGTTATAAAATTGCTATCATAATAAGATAATTCCAAATATTCCGAAATTGTGCCTGATATTTCACGATTATAATTTATTGTTGACAAAAAAAAATAAATTAATAAATAAATTAAATTTTTGAATAATATCTTTTGTTTAGTGTGGTGTATTGTTTGTTTTTTTACAAAGTTTTAACCTCACTAGAACTCATTACTGGGAAGTGTCTAAAGCTAGCCAGGGTATAATTGACAACAAGTAAATGACAGCATACCAACACAGCAGCATACACATATACGCAGCAAGATCATAGAATATTAATTATACAAACAAATCACACACATATACTAATCATAACAATATATACTATATTATCCACAATTCGTAATTATTTATAGCAATTTTAAATCTACCACGCAGAAAGAAATATATTAAAAATTCTACACAATGGTAGTATTGTTGATTGTAAAAAACAAATACTCGCTAAAAAAATTAAAAAAGAAAAATTTACAATTTTTTTTAGAAATTTTTGATAGGCTGTAGCTTCGTAAACAATCGAGAAAAAAAAGGAAACATTTTGAAGCTTGAAAATTCTAGTTTTGAGATGAAAAAGTTTTTTACCGCTGAAGGTGGGTTTTAGAAATCTGAATCAATCTTCTTCAAGGGCCTTTTGCTATGTTTCAGATATATTTTTTTATACTCAGCATTAATTTGAAAAACTGTAAAAAAAAAGATTTTACTTCTGTTTTGGAAAATCAACGACTACTTCGCAAATCTTGCGGAAAAGTACCAATGTTTGTAGGTTTTTTTTATCTCAATAAATGGCCCACGAGGCCTGTAAATTTTGAAATCGATCGGTCGAACCGTTTTCGTATCATGAATCGTCGTTTTATAAAAAAACTAGCGGCCCGTCCCAGCTTCGCACGGGTGGACATTTATTTTAAACATTTTGGGATATAAAAAATATAGCCTATGTTACTCAGGGATAATGTAGCATTCTAATGGTGAAAGAATTATCGAAATCCGTCCAGTAGTTTTTGAGTTTATTCGTAACAAACATACATACATACAAAAATACAAATCTTTCCTCTTTATAATATTAGTATAGATATAGATTAAAGAAGCAGATTTATTACTCCTTAAACATCAATTAATGATTACGTTACATTTTTTTGCGTTATTTTTCTCACAATTCTCACAAAAAAAAGAAAAAATTTAAATTTTGAAAAAGCAAATAATTCAACTTTTATTTTAATAGAAAAAACAAATTTTCTCAATTGAAAAATCGAGATAAAATTGTAAAAAAGAGGACGCAAAAAATTTTTAAGACATTTAAAAAACTTTTATTTTCTTTTTCAAAATTGAGTTTTTTTCCGGATTCTGCTAGGCGGCCTGGTGTAGTGTCCGGTTTGATTTCAGAAATTTTGAAACCGAAAAAATTGTGTCCTCGGGGATTACTTACGTCTCTGAAGGGTTGAAGGTTTGAAATGATTTTAGTTTCGTGGAAACGGAAAACTCTTGGCTAGAAATCTTCGAAACGTTAGTGAAATTTTTCAAAACATCGGTGAAATTTAGCGAGAAATATTTGAAAGATCGTTAAAAATTGTTTGCGAACTATACTTATTTTAGCGGGACTGCTCTGTCTTATATACTCCTATTTTACGGCGGGAACTGCGCCATACGGGCTTCTCTTGAAAAATTATGTGGATATTCAAAACATAGGCGAAATTTGAATTCGCAGTTACAAAGATTACAGCTATATGTATTTATTGGACCATTTCTTTTGATTACTGTTGATTAAAAATGTAATTTTTTACACGTAAACATTTTCTTTCATCAATCAAAATGAACTTGTTTCGCGTTGTTTACTTGTTTCATTAAACTGCGATCTTACAAAAAGGGTAGCCTAAACAATTTAACAACCGACGATCGCTAAATTTTTCTTTCATAATTGCCATCTACGTAGATTTATGGCTGAATAAATTGTCAATAACTGTCACAGGAGTTCACCTTTGATGANTTCGCCATTTTGGATCGAGTTTAAAGAACAAGAAACTCAATTTAAAATTTAATTTTCTATACGGTCATATTTTTTTTGTCCAGGTAATAATTTCTGTAAGCATTTCTCTATAATGCTTGGACTACATTTATGAGTGGAAAATATGTACTATATTATCCACAATTCGTAATTATTTATAGCAATTTTAAATCTACCACGCAGAAAGAAATATATTAAAAATTTACACAATGGTAGTTTTGTTGATTATAAAAAACAAACACTCAGCAAAAAAATTAAAGGCGCAGAAAAATTTCCAAATTTTTTAACGTTCGTGAAAAAAAATGAAACATTTTGAAGCTTGAAGATTCTAGTTTTGAAACCTTGAGATGAAAAAGTTTTTTTCCGCGGAAGGTAGATTTTAGAAATCTGAATCAATCTTCTTTTGCTATGTTTCAGATATATTTTTTTTAATCATAGTTACAAAGATTACAGCTTTTTTGCTCAATATGGTGGATTGCTATATTTATTGGATCATTTCTTTTGATCACTGATGATTAAAAACGTAATTTTTTACACTTACATTTTCTTTCATCAATCTAAATTAACTTGTTTCGCGTCGTTTACTTGTTTCATTAAACTGCGATCTTACAAAAAGGGTAGCCTAAACAATTTAACAACCGACGATCGCTAAATTTTTCTTTCATAATTGCCATCTACGTAGATTTATGGCTGAATAAATTGTCAATAACTGTCACAGGAGTTCACCTTTGATGAAAGGAACAGCGTTTCCTCAAGTCGAACTAAATCGATATAATTAATGACAAGGACAAGCAGAAGGAACACGAAATCGTTAGAAGCCTCTTCTGCTGGCCGTTTATTTATCTTTCTTAATTTATTTTCTATATTTAGCAATGAATGTTTAATTTACTCTTTATCAATATTTTTGCTAATGACCAAAATGTTGTTCAACTTCCTTTTACATCAATTTACTTTCTGAGATGTGATAAGATAAAGCTCTAATAATAGAAAATTCATTAAAGGCGTTTTCCGGTATTGTGTTAACGACAAAGCTTTGCGCGCGTATTTTAGGAACTACTTTCCGTTTAGTTACTTTTTCAACAAAAGTTTTTTATACTTGAAAAGGAAATGGACGTGACAATCCCCGGGAAAGGCTAACAAATGTGATAAAAACTGTAAAAACTTGTCAGTTTATATTGTAGTTATTTGTCGATGCTTTGATTTTATTTATTTATTAACCAAATTACCTCAATTTTAGACACTAATTACTTTCCTGGATTTTCTGTCCTGTATATAAAATGAAAAATTACCTTTTTCTTCTTGAATTCCTTTAAATATTTCTAAATTCTCCTGTACATTTGTGAAACTACATTTTAATTTTTTCAGATACCCAGAGAAGAACCACATCCTTTGCTCGGACCGTCGCTGCACCTTCGCCATAACCGTCTGCTACATACTCCCCATCCTCCTCTGCTTCCCCAGCTACAGCATGTTCGAGATAACCACGACGGAGATAACAGAGAACGGTCAGAACTACACCCTCTACCACACCACTCTCAGAGAGAACGTCAAGAGGGACAAAACTCTACTGAAAATAAACTTTTGGATGTTCGCCGTCTTCATCAAGCTGCTACCGTGCATTATCCTCACTATAATCAGCTGTTGGTTGATAAGAACCCTCTTCAAAGCTAAAAAAAGGAAGCAGGTGCTCCGCGGATACGACTCCTACCCGCTGACGACCAACGGTAAAGACGCAAAGAGGAAGGTGTCCAAAGCTGAAAGACGGGCGGACAGAACGACTAAGATGCTGATCGCAGTGCTCCTGCTCTTCCTCCTCACGGAGTTCCCTCAAGGTATTTTCGCCTTCTTCATAGGCCTCAAGGGTAAGGACCTCTTCCTGGTATGCTATCAGCAGTATGGGGAAATTATGGATATAATGGCGTTGCTGAATGGTTCCATCAACTTTATTCTGTACTGCTGCATGAACAGGATGTTCAGAGCTACCTTCGGTCAATTATTTAAGCACAAAATCCTGGCCAAGTGGGCCAATGCTCCTCCGTCAGAAATTCACACTACGTACGTATGAGTTTTGTAGTTGATGTGGTTGCACTGATTGGAACTGGGAAAATCTGCTGGAAAATAATATGTATGATCCAGATATTTCGCCATTTTAATAGCAAATAAGTCAATAACCATAAAGGGCCACATGCCACATGTAAGTACTAGTAAATATTTGAACATTTGAAGGAAAACACTTATGCTATACATAAACGTTTATCAGTCCCAGATACTGTGAGAATAGCCGCAAAGCTGTCAATTCATTTTTTCAAATGGAAAACAATGAACTGTTAATAAAGAAGGTTGGTTAATCTCATGATTTCATTAAACTCTTTCTAACATCAATATGGTGTATTCAAACCATTTTGATAAAACAAATTTAACAATCTGGCAATCTGATTTGGTAAATTAGTAAAATAATAATTAATAAAAGTCACTTTAAAAATGTCCCCAAAAGCTATCAGCTTATTTTTTTCGAGTAATGTTTTGCTTGCTACCTATCTTTCATTCAATCGGAAAACAGGACTATTATTATTTTGGTAGGGGATGGATGGCCCAGGGAGGAGGGTAAGGACCCAAGAAGTAGAGTGATGTGAAAGTAACCCCAAGTTACGTGACTTGCCAATCAAATGCATTTAATTTCAATTTCATTTCAAATTGTAAGAACAGATAAAAATCTAGAATCCTAGACCATGTGACTTAGGTCAATCAACCTGTTGGAACAACTTCATCGATACGAAAAACGGCATAACTATCCTTTCCGTGATAAATTTATGATTTTATTCGTGGTGTGAATACAATACGGTGTCGGTCGGTTTAGTTTCGTCCTATAAAGCATGACGTCACAACGAGATACAGATTTTCGTTTTGAGAGACACAGAAAGTATTTTATATACAAACAGATAATTGAAGTTGATACTTAAGACGCAAAAAGTGTAATTTCCACATTACAAATGACATTAATCGTTTTAAAATCAGTTTAAGAATATAGAGTATAAAAATAAACCTAACCTTAAATATTATGTTAAAATAAATATTTTGTTTGAAGTCAATAGACGCATAATCTATTTTACGCAATAAAATGAATGGTGTGAAAAGGCTACAACAGCTGTAGAAATGTGGCAATTATGAAAAAAACGACAGGTCGACAGGAAGTTGCTGTATTTCTATGCCTTGATTTTGTTAGATTCTCGTTAATGACGTCACCACATGCGCTTAGGCACATCAATGATACATATTTACATCCAGTTTCATCAAACTCATGGTGATGTCAAAATAACGTCTTGAAACTACAAGTGAAAAGATAGTCTGACACAGAACTGACATGATTTTGAATTTGATAAGAATGAGACTTATGCTTTATGCGACATAATTAGTATATTTTACTTTATACTTTTATTACAACTTTTATCTAATATCTTGATCTTATTCTGTCTGTTCTCATCCATAGACATTGTCAGAGATAGGTCAATCTTAATGAAAAAAAAAAAAAAAAACTCAAAGCAAATGCATAATTTTATTTTACAACTTGTCTTATGTCGTCCTTGTCTATTTTATTATCATATTCTTCGTCTTCAATATAATTATATTCCGGTTCTTTATCAATCGTTTTGAAGCCATCAAAGTGCACACAAAAACTCAAAGAACTGATAACTAGTAACTAAGTGAAAGTCTAGTTTTTGCATCAGCATACTTTTTTGTAGATTATCTGGATTTTACTGGTAAAATAGTTTTATGGCATCTCAGTTCACAGAGAAAAATCTACAGGGTGATTAAGTTATAATGTCATTAATTTTAACCACATATTTGAAAGACCTAATATAGAAAATTGAAAAAAAAATAACTCGATCTTTAAAAAAAGAGCAAATTACCCTTAACTCCAGTTAACTCGGCGCCCTACTTTGCAACAGGGAACACACCGTCCGACAGACTATAAAGCGTTCAAATGTTGAAGCGAAACAGCTGATTTCCTTAGTCGTCTTGAATTTTGCGATAGCTTTCAAAATCAAAGTGCAGCGGAACCTAACTTTATTAACAAAGTGGACGGGTAAGTGTTTTTGTTAGCCGTACTGGCATTTTAAATAGGTACCATACTACTTGTTGAAACGCAATAAGTCACTAAATATACGTACTACAAACTGAATAATTAACTGAACATAATACTAAAAACTCATATTCAAATATAAATATAATGAAAACAATACTAAATAAACTAACATTCGAAAACAATTATTATCCTTATACATTTTTTTTATTAACAAAAAAATAATAATTGTTAATATTTAAAATGTAATAAGATATTTTTATCATTCTCGTGTCTAGATTAAAAGGTCTGTTTTTTGTTGTTCACTATTAAAAACGCAATAAAAGCTAGGTTAGTGACCGAATACGGTAGGTCAAAATTCACTCTCGATAAACCTTTGTAGGTCAGCGATCAGGAGCGGCTGGAAAAGGGGTTTAAATAATGATTCGAATTTTATTTTTTTTTTCATTCTACTCATTTTCCCCTATCTTCCAATAAAATTAATGATGTTATGATTGAATCACCCTGTATATTTTGAGTCTGCGACTGTAACTGCATTTAAAATTCTAGCAAATTTTCTATTCTCATTTTTTATATTATATCTTTATATTTAAATGTTATCTTTAAAATCTGAAGACAACTTCTATTTACATTCCAACTAGAAGAATTTTAATTCATTGATTTAAGACAGGCATTCAACTGACTTCGAATTTGACAACTATTTGCTTAAACAACGCAAATAACCATAAAATAAATGTTAAATAGTATTGTTTGAGATATGTAGTGAAATCTAGCATTTCTATATAAAAAAAAGCAATGAAAAATATTTACTGGTTTTTATGGATACAGGTCAATGGTTTTTTTGGTAAAGGTAATCACAGTTCGAGAAAAATTTGACCAAAAAAACAAAAAAACAATTCAGAAAGATTCGATGAAAGTAGATAATCAACGAATATTTTGTACCTAATAGCATTTGTCGAACACAATTAACGATTTACCAGAAAATTAAACATAGCATTTTTATAAATTTATATGCAGTTATTGTAAAAATGCTAAAGTATGGATTAAAATTGTTGCAGCACATTTTCCCATCCAAATAACAAAGTATTCACACAATTATGTGGTTGTGATAAAATGCATTGAAATTGTAGCACCAGTGCTTGATAGGTTTTTATTTTAATTTACCCTTTTTGTTAATTTTCCAGGACGTTACCAAATGGAACGAATACTACCACTTTGTAAGATTATTAGAACACTGTTATTGTAAATATTAAAAAAATAAGTTAACATTGGAAAAATATGACTGATGTCAAATGAGGAAAAGCTATTTAGATATACACACAGTTTGTTTTTATATTAAAAACACAACTCTTATAAGTTAAAGAATATATACCGATTTTTACGGGGTCATCCAAGTACAAAAAAATACAACTAACTGCTATTTTCTTTCTTTGTCCTACAGAATTTACCAACTCCACTTGACTTAACAAAATTCAATCAGGTCTAGATGGCTTTGCTGATAACATTGGCAATAACACTCTTCGTGACGGCAGGGACAAAGGATTTTTTCACTTGGGTGGGAATGGAGCAGTGATACGTTCGTAATATATAAAAATATAGAGGTTTGAAGTGCTATTCCTTATACGGTAGGAATATGCGATGTGTTTTTACTAGTACATCGCGTTGAAGTCGAAAAGGGGTCTAGCGTGGTTGGAGAAATACGTGCAACATTGCATATACAATCATTATATGCCTTTCCTTTCAACGCAATTTGTTAAAAATGGTAATTATCACTTGTCCGTGGTTAACGAGTTTACTAAGTTACTAAGAAATTTCTTTGGTATGAAGAAAAATGCTCGTTATATCCTTTATTCTTTTTGTGCACCTACCAGTATTGTAATTTCCATATTAATGCAATTTCTGCGTAACTTTTTATTACATATTAGCTCTTTTTTCACGAAAAATCCTTTCTGCATATTAACTATCTTAATTTCAAAGCAGGCGTGGATTTAGTCATTAATTTGGAACATTTTTTGATTAAAAATTCTCCTAGAATGTCTAGTTTTCACAATAAGTTGCAGGAAGTTTGAATCCCCAATTTAACTTCAGCGAAGTTTTAGATTTATTTGCAATTATAAAAAATATTAAAGCTCAGCCGTTGGAAGTAGTTTTGTACCAAAAGCACAAGTAATTAGCAATATGGCTGATTTTTTTATAAGTTCTTCAAAGTACGCAGATTAATATAAGAAAAAGTTCACTGGTCTATAAATTTCTCAAAGTCCAAAAAAAAAAAATTAAGAAAACCTTTTTGATTTTCGAAATTCTTTAATTAATAACCTAATACCCTTTAAGTTAATAATAACTATCAAAATTGAGAAAAAAAATACTACATTGTAGAAGAAGTTTTTTCCAACAAATAAGACACTGCACTTTTTTTCGTCCGAGTTTTGGTTTGTCTGGAGCCTTGAAGTCATCGGGCAAACAAGCGAATAAATATACTCTTCAAACGTTATAATAGTCAAGTTTCACTCAAATATTGAATAATTTAATATGTAGAAATGAATATTCGATATTAATTCAATGAAAAAAAATTTCAAAATATTTTCAAAATTTTCGACAAAAATTTTCCTACATTTTGTTTAGATTTTCCAATATACTCAATGTAGTAAACAGTAAATACAAGGTAAAATTTACATATTTTTATTACAAAATCATAGGAAAAATTACATAAAATCATCTATATACAGGGTGGTTGATTTTCGATAGTTTTATAGGGTACAGCCAAAACGGTGATAGATACAAAAAATCTGATATCGATATCCCGTCCTCTTTTTTTGAGTTTACTTCGCTGGTACCAAAAGGTCTTGGCTAACTTGATTAGTTTTAGATATATAGTGTTTTTCTTTGAAAAATGGCCCATTTACATTAACCTCTCTATCTCCGTTGTCATTCAATTTAGAAGAAAAAAGTATGCATATTATCTGTTCTATTTTTTATTAGGAAGCCAGTGGCGTACTCAGATTTTTTACAAATCGCACAGTTTTTCCGATATTACATAAACATAGGTTTTTTTAAATATAACACCCTGTATTTGGCCATCCCGTTGAATAGCATTTTTTTTACCTTTTCAGCCATATACAATAATAGATAATTTTTATTTGCCTAAATGAAGAAAAATGCAAAAATGTATAGATATTTTTTCAGTTGCCCATGAGATTTATTTAGTATTGGTCTCCTCGTTTTCTATTATTATTTTTATATTAAGCACCTAACTTAGACTAAAAAATTACAAGAAAAAATAAATTAGATTATCCATTTATCTTTACTTAATAGGTTTAATTATAGGTACACTTATTAAACATAAACTAAACAAAATTAACAACTATAAAATGAGAGAAATGGGATTTACATCAAGGTACTCAATCACGACCTTCTATTCGTCCTTGACCCCCACGTTGTCAAGGTCATTTGAACTACTTATAAAAAACATTTCCATATTAGTTACTTGTTTCTGTAGCCTCCACCGACTGGGCTATTAGGTCTGCTATTGGAAAAGATTTATTTTTATCAAACAACAAAATTATGAGAAATATAACTGTAAACTTTCTGGAAAAGTGTTTTTGTTTGTTTGTTATCAAATATTTTCGATAATGGATAACAAAATTAACTTTTCGAACTACCGCTGTAATTTAACAAACTCGCAGAAACATAGAAACTACAGCAAAACTTTAAAACAAATTTTTAATATGGTTTCCTGAAATCAACTCAATCTCAAATTGGAGTTTACATTTTATTAACTAAGTTGCAAACTTGCCCGATGGAATTATTATATAGTTCGAGGGAAATGAAATACAAGATCAAATTTTTAAATTTGAAACAAAAAACATGTCGACGAAATGAGTTCTTCATTCAAGCAGCTTTTCTCTGCGTACCAGACAAATAAACCGTTTAGACCGGAAACTTATGAGCCCCAATTCACATGTCGAATGTACGTAAATCTTCTGATCGAGTAATTCATTTGTTCGGTTCAGTGAATGAAAACAATGGACTGCGTGCAAGGGCTACCACACACTACACAAAGAAACGAAAAAACAACATTAAAAACAATGTAAGAATTGCTAATTACAATATTTTTGTGTAATCAGTCAGTGAAAAACTAAAGTATCAAGTTCATGTATATTTTCAGTATTCATCTTCAGTTTTTTTCTTTTAATTTATTTGGTGACTACGTCTACAAAACTATAAATATATACGAACTGAAAAATTATACCTAAGATCAAATCAGTTTTTAAATTGTCAACAATCAATTCTATCGAGATAACTCATTTTTTTTTGTAATTTTCATGCATCGCCGCTGGACAAGCTCAACGCATCGTTTTCTTCTTACAAAAATTAAACTCTAACCGTATGAACTCTTTCTTGATTTGTATAAGCGTTTTCTCCATTATATTACACAGAAATTTGACAATGAAAATGAAGACACAAACACACAACACAACTTTATAAGTTTATACCTTTCGATTACACAAAAACACAACATTCTACTTTGTTTCCAATACCGAATTACAAATACCTTCTCTTATAGATGTTTTACATTGACAATTTATTGATGAATAAATTGACGAAGTTCTTCATGACTTAATTCACGAATTTATTGGTGTGGTTTTACACTGCTACAGACTTTGTCAAGTTTTTTGACGCATGAATCAGTTCTACCAACGAATCAAAGAAGCAAATAAATTTCAAAAATGTCACCTTTCCACTCATAATTGTAGTGATACAACAGCAGCGGTACGTTTTGACACATATTATATAAATATCAGTGTTTATAAGTAACAAATCAGTAAAGACAATGTAAACCTAGTACGACGCCACACAATTATTTACATATTCCAATAACATAACCTCATTACTGATCTGAGGCTGGAAATCTGTTGGGTCGGTACTTCCGAACTTCGCGAAGAATTTGACGAAAATTAGAACACGCTCTAATTCGTCAAGAACTTGATGAATAAATTCATGAAGTTATTTGACAGCAGATTTGGTGCATTACACTTGTCCAATTTCTTGATGAAGCAACTTCATGAATTAATTGATCAATAAATTGTCAATGTAAAACAGTTATAAGACCCACAAACTGGAAGCTAAAATAAATGGTGATCATTTGCGCATCTACCAGCTTATTGTCATATCATAGAAATCAGGTGTAAAGTAAAGTGAACTTTCATTGTGATCATGTAAACAATGAACAAGCACGCGACTATGAAACTATTGGTCGAAGAAACAGATTGAAGATGTTATAAATATCATTTTGAGTTCTCTTAAGTGTTTAAAATCGACCTCCTTTCTAGATCGACGAGCCGCCACTGTTTAGGTTTATACAGAGTCGTGCATAGATTGTAAACCACCTGTTTTTTTTTTTAATTGCAGAAGAAATAAAGCAATAATAATATCAAACAAGAATGTGTATTAATACGGCTATGTAGGTATAACTAAGGGAATGCGTATTATGCAGATCAATTATTTTGACAAGCAGGAATTCTAGTCATCCTTTACTTAGCATTTGCAGTGCGTTTACGAGCCGAATACATGAATAATGGTTGTTCGACATGACAAAATGTTTATTTAACAGGATCCGGACGACAGTCACACATATAATAAATCATGAATGGCGTGACTGTTTTGGTTTTACAATTAGTGACGAATGTTCTATCGACAGTGTGGACTAGCCTAACATATACAGGGTGTAAGAAGTTTGACTGCCATTACTTCAGCATGAGATAGATAAATGAACAAAAAAGTTGTATATTACAAGGGCGTAAGATTAACAGTTCTCAAAATATAGCGAGTATTAATATTGGGGAGTTGGGGAGAAAAGGGTGCATGAACCCCGCAAAAATATCACTCTGTAGAATATCACGACCATTTGGCATGCCCAATGATGTAAGCCCTACAGCGTAACCTATATTCCAAATTTGAGCTAAATATTTCAAAAACTGTGGGAGCTATAGAGAAAAAACTAAAAAAATCTCAAAATTTTCAACACTCATTAAGTAAGCCAAAGAATTACCCCCTCAGTATTTCAATACTGCTAAAAAAATCGTAAATAATCTTACTTATAACATCATATTCAAATCGACTTATTACCAAATTTGAAAATATTAAAAACATATGTTTTTCGATCCTTTCTCAGAAATTAAACGTTTCCAGATATGAACTTTTATTTTTTTGGATATATGTCCTTTGCCTTTAAATTTT